TACTAAATGACTTATTTTCCGCTAATCTTATTTCTACCTTGCTAGATTTATGTTTATATAGTAAAGAATGTACTATTCTACTTACTACTTCTTATTATATACGGTTCTTATTAATCGATTTCAATTAGGAGTGGGATATAGATTACTGTCTAGAGGCCTTAGGCTACTAACTTAATATTAAAATAGCGGAATCTATAGTTTAAAAATAAAATTTGGATAGTACTATTTTATATATTAGATAATTATTAGTGGTAATAATAGAACTAACGGATAGTAACTTCCTATACTAAATTAGAGATATAATAAAAGAAGATAGACTTAATTAATTTATTAAATAAAGTAGTAAGTTTATTAAGGATAAAATTAGATTATTCTACCTATATGAATTTAAACTACAGAATAAAGTTATTAAAATATACTATAATAATATTATATATAGATACCTAAAAATCAAAAGGATGAAACTATTATTTTTAAATACGTATATAACGAAAAGTCCAATTTTATACTAGAATATATGATATATACAATAAGATAAGTTAGTACAATATATATCCCATAAAGAATTATAGCTATTAAAGATACTAAGTTGTAGGAATAGATTATAACAGATTTTATTATAAAACTACTAATCTTTAAAAGATATAATATAATGGTAGTTATAGTCGATAGGCCTACTAAGTATGCCTATATAATCCTAACTACCGAAACTATTAATACCGGTGAATATTGAATATTATATTAAAGTATATAGTCGTAAATTATAAGATATTAAGTAACACTATATTAAATAGAGGTAAATCACTGATAGATTAATAGGTATTAAGCTTAGACTCTTTATAATATACGATCTATATTACTATATAAACTACTAGTAAGATAACTAAGACTATTAATACTGGTATAATAAATATATAATAATACAGTATATTCTATAATAAATAAGATACTATTTTTTATAAACTCTAGATATAATCTAGTGGTATATAGAAAACTATATAATCAGAGAGTTATAGCGGAATTAGTAAGGCTAAAGACTAGCGAACTAGAGAAATATATATAACTAGCTAGAGATATTAACTTTATTGATTAATATATAAAAGAAGTATTATTATAATTACTATAAAGAGGGATCTAACCTAAGAAAAAGGGAAAAGATTTATCTATTACATTACAATATTAAAATGAGAATTAAGCGATCCAGTAATAACTTACTCTACTTAAAACTAAAACTACTTAAAATTAAAGAAAGATTGAGATTAGATAATTACTATTTAAAGCTATTAGAAAGTATATAAAAACTCTATATAGTAATTTATATTTTATCATTTAAATCTATACTTGAAAACGCTAAATTCGCGATATATATAGAATTTAAAGATATTAAAGACGAATAAAAAATTGAGTGAATCCTATCAGATAGATAGTATGATAATTAATAGTAACTCTTAATTAAATAGAAATGGTATGTTATCTTAAAAAATATATAGAAATCTATTATAATTCTAAGATTCTTAGATAATATAAACTAAAGAAGAATCGCTAATAAGAAAAGATAAGCCTATCCTTTTCAGGACTAAAGAGGATACAGGCCTAAATATCTAAATATTACATTTATTAAGAAGATAATTTAATTTGATTAAATTTTAAATAGATAGAATATCTTTAATATCTAATTACTTTATTAGAAAGGAGTTACAATTTAATATTTTATTACTCTGATTTTCAAATATTTAATATTACGTCTTAAAATAAAGTATTTTTATTGTTAATTTTATTTACTATTTTTATAATTTCTTTTATATTTATATTAATTTTAGTAGGTTTATAAAGTATCCATTATTATTTATTATCACTATAGAATTAATATATATATTTTATATAATTATAACTTTGTGGATCTATCATATAGTTACTATAGTAAGGAATATAATATTTATAAGAGATATTAATAATTATATTATATTATAAGATTCTATTATATTGAATGAATTTATCTCTTTTATACCTATGATTATTGAGTAAAATAATATAAGGGATATATAACTAAAACTAAAAAAAATATATAGTTATAGATGAACTAATATTACTTACTAAAAAAGAAACTATAGCTTTATATGCTTCAAAGATAAAACTCTAAAAGAGGTAGACTAAATAATTTAGGTCTTTTCTAAACCTATTCTAATATTATTAATACCTATAATAAACTCTAAGAATTTAGTCTTATCTACCGAGAACTTAGATTTCGATAATATTACTTAAAGACTAATCTTATAATTCGTAAAGTACTTTACGTACTTAACAACTATAATCTTTACTATTCTTACTATAAATTAAGATAATATCTCTAATATAACTATATACTGGTTTAGATATTCTCTAAATATACCGTTTATAAATCTTTAGAAGGTTATTGGTCTATTTATTAATCTAAAAGGCGTAATCTTATATTTAAATAATCTGTACCTTATATAGAAAGTTGTAAGATCCTCCGCTCTAGAATTCAACTAATCCGATAGAAATCTTCTTTTATATTAAATTATATAAGAATCTTAGCCTTACTAGTTGATTATAATAGTTTATTAGTTAAAGGAAAAATGTAATAGTCTGTCTTAATTATTATAATTAACCTTCTAAAATCTATATAGAAATAAAGACCTTTATCTAGCTTTTTTACTATAAGAATTAGTAAGATATAAGATATTAAGCTAGGCATAATAAGTTATAAAGACTTTACCTTTAAATAATCTCTAGGTGTTTATATTCTATACGTTTATAATTATAGTATCTCGAGAATCGGGAAGAAAGAGGATATTGTTTAATAAAATTATAAATCTATTTTTTGCCGACTGAAAGAGTTAAAGTAATTCTATATTATTAAAGAAGATCTACTATTTCTTATAATAGAAGGGCGAGAGGCTAATCTATAAGAATCTATAGGGATAATCTATTTTTAAAAATATTGCTCTTTAAGATCTATTAATTTATATAAATTTATATAAGAATTCGTGCGGTAAGGAGTACTCTTTAGACGATAGAGGATAGTTAGCTTTAGAACTTCGAAATAGCGCGCTACTTTATAAATAGAGATTATTTGCTTGATCTTAATAGCCTAGAAAGCTAATAAGACCCTACCCTCTTACTTTACTACATTGCTAGAGGATCGGGAGCGAATTAGTAGTATAGTAGGTAGTTGAATTAACTAAGTACTAATCTATCGACGGTTTTTAGTGGTAGTGGACTACTAGCTTATATAGACTACTCGCTTACCGAATATAGGTACTTATATAAGTTATAAAATATAATTAGGTCTTATCTTTATAACGACTCTATATATAGAGCTTACGATAGATAGATAGTAGGTAATAGTTGGTATTAGGCTTAAGTTTCTATTGTATAATAGTTTCTTAGGTTTTTAATCGGATATCTTTATTATTACTAAATATTAGTATATTAGGTATCTTAATAATCTTATAAGTAGTAGCGGTCTCTATAATAGGTATACCGGAATTTGTGATATTTATATTCTATAAATTTATAAGTCGAAAGGGAATATTATTTTATATATTAGTTATATTGTCTCGATAAATAATAGCCTTCTCGAGTTCCTTTTTAAACTTAATAATATATACCTGTTATTAAGTCTTTACTACCCTACTTTAATATTACCTAATAACGAGGTATTATTTTTTTTCTCTCTTTTATACTACCTTCCTATACTATAATAGCGGTAGAAAATAGCCTATTTAAAAGAGAAAAGGTAGGCTATCCCTAGCTCAGCGTACGGCGATCCTCTTTACTTATAGAAATAGAGCTTCGCAAACGTAGCTAGCGCTTGATTTTAGATATACTCGGAAGACTATTTATAATACTATTAATCGCTTCTAAAACTACTAAACCGTCGAATCTTTACCTCGAAGCGGCCGGCTAAGATTATTTAATAATCGAACTCTATATTATCTATTTATTAAAGCCCGGCGGTACCTAGATTAGACGTTTAAATAGCTAAGTATATATCTACCCGATTTATTATTATAATTACTAATTATTAAGGTTTTAAAGTAACTCGGAATTAAAAACTACTAATCGAAACATACGATCCTAATTAGAAAGGATCTATCTTACTAACGATATCAATTTATATAATGTTAGTTATAAAACTAGTTTAGGAATAGCGTTTCAAATTAGATCTTTTCGGATAAATACTCTATTTAATAAACCTCGAATTCCGGACTAATTTAGGTATAGTATTTTTAGTAGGAGTACTACTAAAGAGATCTTATAAATACGAAAGTATATATTAAAGATATATTATACTCGGCCTAATGCACGGCCCAATTCCCGCTCCCGGGAATTGGGCCGTACGGGCTCGATGCAAAAATTAAACAACCCATCAATTTAAACATCCCATTTAACAACCTTCCCCTATAGTATCTATCGTATATTTAATATTTACAGATTCATCTAGTCCAGCGCTTTCTTATGCACTATTTAAATCCCCCGATTTCGACGTCCTGGCGGCAGCAGTTGCTTCTGCAGTAGCAGATGCAATCCACTTCTTCTTCGCCTGCTGTATTAATTTCTTCCTCTCCACCCCATCTCTCACTTTAATATGCCTATTTGCATCTAATGAAGTAAGAGGACCACCCATATTCACCCTCCGTTTGCTTTTATTGGCCTCCCTCCGTCGTTTTAGATCCAAAATATCAACATTGTCATGTGCATATTGAGCGCCGGCCTCTACCAAAGTAAGCGCACCAGCTAGAAATGGAGCTAGTTGACGGCGTAGCTTTGGAGAAATAGCATCAATCTGATCTCCAATTTCGTCGGTTTTTTTTCGTATTTTTTCAGCGTATTTTCTGAAGGTTTTAAGATCTATTACCGGCGAATTTGGTATAGAGCTTGACTCTGGAGGGGGGTATCACTATCCCATACCTCTAGTACTGGCTCTGGAATATCAGGATCATTCCATCCTAGCTTCTCTAAAGCAATATCTGCATTTAAAGGAGAAATCCCGCATTTCGTAAAGCCAGAACGTATTGTACGGCTTTTAAAGGCTTGATTTCGAACCTTATCAATGCTAGAAAAAAAGTCAGATTTTTGCTTTACTGAGCCACCCCACTGTACTATAACATTATTATTCTTACGAAAATAATGTTTTAGTACTTGAAACGGCACATCGTTAAGCGGCTGGCATATATGCGTTGTATGTGGGATGAAACAGTAAGGTATAATCTGATGATCCTCACAGAATTTGACGAATTCAAAGGTAAGATAAGAGCCGTGATTATCCATAAGAAGAAGCCGAAAACCCGTCTTTGTACAGCGATTTTTAGTGATTTCTTCAAATGATTGAAGCCATTGAAAGGCTATTATATCGTCGGTCCAACCATTAGGTGTAGGGGTAATCCAATAATCGTTAGGGAGATTGGTAGTCCTATACCAATTCTCCATATGAAATTCACCATTTACTAAAAACCAAGGTGGCATTACCCAGCCATCGGCAGCAATACATTCAATTGAAGTAAGAGTTTCACTAGGCCCGCCAGTTCCAATACTAGCAGATTGACCAGCTTTAGTCGAAACAACTTTTCGAGCTTTTCCTTCGCCAATTTTAAAGCCGCTTTCGTCAAAGTTGTAGATATTCTTCGAACCGATTTGCAACCGCTGAATAGTACTACCTAAGCGAGTATACCAAGTAGTAAGATGGCCAGGTGTAACTGCTTGTAGGCGGTCCTTTTCCATTGGTTTTTGCTTAATATAGGCGTATTTATTAGGTAGGCGTTTAATAAAACGGTATGCCCAATTTTTACCAAGATCTAGATCTAGATCTTGGCGATGAAGAATTTGCAATGCACACTTCTGGATCATATCTGCAGTTGGCGGAGCATTTGCAGTATTTAGGGTATCGATCCAATGAATCAATGCACCTTCTTGCTCTATACCTAGGGCTTTGTTGGTCCCAGGACGACCGGTAAGAGATTTGCGACCGTTGATTCTACCCCTTAGGGTATAGTACGGAATATCAAATTCACGCGCCAGCACTGAAATCACAGGCTTCTCGCTTGCATGGTAGGCTTTTAAAGCACTATCAATTCGATCTTCCAGGTTTTGAGATGAAAAAGGCATGTTTAGGGGTAGTATAATGGTGTTAAAAATGGTGGGTGGGCGAAAATTTGCATCGAGCCAGTTTTTGCATCGAGCCCGTGCGGCCCAACTCCCACCTGGGAGTTGGGCCGAGTAGATATTTTATAGTATAATCTAGCTTCGTAGTTATTTATTATTTATTATAATAGACTAGGAGGTTAAAATAGACCTTAAGTCTCTAAAAAAAAAGGGTATACTGTAATATTATATATTAATACGCTTAAAAAAGGGTTAATTAAGAATTATCGACCGGGTTATATCTTCTAATAGGATAATATAAAGATTTATATCACTAAAAATACCTAAAACTAGTTTGAAAAGTATAGTATATATATTAAAGATTACCCTATATACTTACCTAATTTAAACCCGATTAAATTAGTATAGAGATAGTTAAAAATAAGGTTATTCGAATTATATCCTCAGCTAATATATATAGGTCGTTCGAAGAAGGATTAGGCTTATTTTAAGCGCTATATTATATATACGTAGCAGGAAATACTATAGGCGAAAATTGATAGGCTGATTCTGAATATAGAGCGGAGATATAAGGCTATATAAAAGGCTAAGGGTTATTATACTAAATATTAAGTATATTTTAACTAAGGATAGTAGGGCTTAAACCCTATCTTTATTAAAAGTAAATTAAGTAATAGGTAGTGTTGTACTATATAGTTCAATGTAGATACAGATACTAGTTATATGTTCTTACCTACTACCCTACTTCAATCTGACCTAATAACTAACCTATATTTTTTTTCTCTTCCTATACTACCTATACTACTTCGAATCTAATAAAAATAGGACTAAAAAATAGTAAATCGGCGTAGCTTTCTACTTATAATAGGTAACTTACGACTATATAAAATAGGGGTTACTAGTAAAGGGTACTTTATATAGATCTAATAGATCGTAAATTAAGTATAGACCTATTATCTACTATAAGCCAATTAGCTATAAGTATCTTTATCTATAGATATATCTATAGATATACCTATAGATATATACCTAAATACCTATTTTAAGTTATAATCGAAGGATTTAAAACTCTTAGAATAATAATATAAATCTTTTAGTGATTTAATTAATAGAATTTAGTAATATAAGCTTATAAAATAAGAATTATACTAATTTACTTTCGATCTACCTATAAGAAATATGCTAGAGTAAGTGATAAAGTAGAATCTATAAGTAGTATTTTACTTATAGAAAATAGTAGGTATATATTACTAACTTAAATATATATCTTTAAACTGTTATAGTATAATTTAATAATTTAATAAAAATACTATATAATATTGTATATTTCAATTAAAATTTATTCTAAGTTGTATTATATATATATTAGTTTCTTATATACTTAGATATTGTAGTAAAATTTATAGATATTATAGATTAAAACCGCGATTTTATATAGAGTTAGTAAAATAGGTATAAATAACAGTTATTTATTATATAAAGTCAGCGAGTTATACGTCTATTTTAGGTGACTTTATGCAATTGTGGGTATAGTGGGTATGCCCGTGGGCCTTAGGCATTATAGACGGGCACGCGAAAATCCAAATAGCCCACCGCCTACTGTGGACGGGCGATGTCGCAATCTAGTTGGGTCCGGGTTGGAGTGGGTTGTGCCGAAGTCTAATCCTCTATATCATCATCATTATTATTATTATTATTATTTATAGGGTTAAAATAATAAGTATCAGTTATATATCTCTTCTTTTAGTTAGCTTATATCTCTTTATATAACGTACTATACTACCGAGCGGCTACTAGTAACCCCTAAATAGCTACTCCCTTACAAAACGCGTTAATTAATTTAAACCCTGCTTCTCTCCTTAACTACCTACTATACTACTAATATACCCTTAAAGCTCTAAAGATTTAATAGAGTAAGAGGGTAGGGTCTTATTAGCTATCTAGGCTTTTAAAAATAGAGATATCAGCTCTATCATTCTTACTATAAATACTTTCAATATCACGCGTATCAGCGCGCGAAATATAAAGACCCGAAATTATTAGAAAGTAATTCGATTTAGTTAAAAAAAATTATTATTTAATTTAGAATCGATCTTAATAATATTGATAACTATAATAAAACTAGTTATATAATAGGATTAACTATAACCACGAAGGTTATTATAAGGAGTAAATACTATAGTCGGCATTTACTCTTATAATCTAGAAATTGAGAGTAGATAACTACTAAGTATATAGATACTTCTAATTAGGCCCTTCTATATATAATTTTTAAAGGTCAAGTCTTTATTAAATTATAGTTTAATGGCTTTCTAGATAATTAGTGTTTTAAAGTTAGCCCAAATAGTTAGACTTCTAATAAAATTAGCCTGTAATAGCTTAAAAAGCCCTTTATATTAACTACTTTATTATATATTAAAGGGTATTAGCTTCTAATACTTAATAGTTATAATAGTTATTTAATATCGAAATTTAACGAAATTTATAAGTAAATAATATAATATTAATTTTTATACTAGCCTCGGAGTAACTAGTTTAATACTATTTATACCCGACTAAGTTTATAAAGCTTAATATTTAACTTTAAATACCGAGTAATTTAAGCCGGAATTTTATCCTAAAACCACTTTTATAGAGAAAGACCTATATCGATAGCCTCTATTGATTAAAGCTTATTTCGTATAAGATCTTAAAGCCCGTCTAGCTTATTAGATTATATATTAAAGTAGCTTATAGAAGGCTTCTATGTTATAATATAAGATACTATCTTACTTACCGAGGAAAATAAGGAATTACGCGCCGCTAATAAGAAGTAGAAGTAAAAATATGTAAGATCTTAAAAGGTAGATATCTACCGAAAAAGACCTATTAATTTAATAAGCTTTTCAGTTAGTTACTAAGCTAGTAAAAGTAGATAAAGTACCTCCTCCCGATACCGGTATATATAAAGTACGGGCTTTAAAACTATATATATAGGCTATACTAAAGTATAGTAGGTATAGAGAAACTAGGTATAGATTTAATAGATTCCTAAGTAGGTAGATAATTTTAGTAAATTTAATTTAATAGAGTTTTAGTTAAGGAATTGATATTGAAAATTGATAAATTTAGGTAGGGTAGCTATTTAGGGGTAGTAATACGTTTCAAGGTAGTATAGAAGGTAAAGTGATATTATATAAGATATTAAGCGAGAAATTTATTATATAGGTATTAAGCTTACTTATATTTTGATTTAAATTAATAAAACCTATAAAGAGTAGTACAGTATAGCATATAGTAGATATATATATAACCGGGTCGTCGAACTGCGGCTATCGCCTTTACGGTGTCCGGGTTCCCGGATCTAATTGAATCCCGGGTCTAATTGCATTTTTGTCCCCCAACACTAACTAATTTATTGAATTTAAATAGTATAACCTTCTAAATTAATACAATAAAGATTATCTATCTATTCCCGGGCTATTTCTATACTATTATTATCCTCAATATCACCCGGGTTTTTAATATCGCTATCGTTAATCGCTTTCAAAATAGCTACTTCCCGCTAAGCTTTCTAAGATCTATTAAAATCTATAGTCTTTCTCGGTCGGTATAGTCGGAGATGTATTTTTTTATAGTTCTTTACTAAACAAGGGCTTAGTTTAAGTAGCCTACGCTTTATTTTAGTAGTATTAAATTACTTTTTCCGTTATAAAATACGAATATTATCCTCCGCGAATTAAGTACTAACCTTAGTAAAAGTAAGTCTACCTCCTAAATATAAGAAAGACTATCCTATACCTTTAAAGAAATTATAGTATCGTTTTATATATACTTTATAACTTTACTACTCGCTTTTAGAGTTTTTAAATAGTTATAGATAGTAAATTTAATAGTAGAGGTAGTATTATTCTAGATATAATATTATAAACTATAAACCCTAATATTTCGGGGAGATTATTATCTACTAACTTTAATTCTTTAAGACTTTTATTTAAATTAATAGGCTAAATTCTCATTTCTCGGAACTTATATCAAATTATCTACTCAGTTAATAATCGTATATATATATTATAAATACCTATAAAGAAATTAGCTTTATATTATATATTACTATCCTAAAGAATACTCTTATTATTATATTATCTATAGTAATACTTAAAGACTAAGAAATATATATCATCGAGAGGTTAGTAATTATATATTATATATAGAATAAGTACTAAGGAATAATATATTTTATCTAATAAAATTTAATAAAATTATAGGTTAAATATAAACTATAATTATCTATTAAAAGAAAATAATATTCCCTATTTTTAATATATAATAATATAAATTTATCGAATATCTAGAGCTATATAAAACTAATAATTTTATTAGTCTAGCTATTTAGAGTTAGATAAATTATATAATTATTTAGTAAATTAGTATTAAGAAACTAACTTTCTATATAGAGTTATCCTTTTACTAAAAGCTATAGCGGTATAACTTAACCTATAGCTAAGATTTGTTTAATACAGGTAAGCGATTCGGCTTAGCTATCGGTACTATTATATAAATTACGTTAGGCTAAAATAACCTTTAAGCCTTCCTTTCGCTAATTCGAAACCCGGTTTCGTTAAAATTATATAGATTTCTCGGGCTAATATTATAGCCTTTAAACGTAATTTATAGACGATTATACTAAGTAATAATATAACTAGGTTCTATAGCCTAAAACTATACTTTCTCTATTAGTTTTTAGGTAAGATATTTAAAGTATAGTAGTAGACGAGCGATAAAGTCATAAGCTTAATTTTTACGGAGTATCCGAGAGGGGTTATAATACCGGATAATTTATAGCGTAGTATATTAAATTTAGGTAGTAGATAGTAGAGAATAAGCCTAATCTAAGATATCGATCTATAGAATTAATACCTTTTCTTACTCGGTTTCTCATACTTTATTAGGTAAGGTATATAGTCGTTTCGAGACTTACGACCTTTAAGCCGTCCTCTTAATATACTATAGCTAATACCGAACTCTTTAGCGATAACCTTAATATTTAGCTTCTTTTTAGTATAGAAAGCTATTAAGGTATTAGTAATACGATCTTCTAAATCCGGAGATATAATATAAAGAATTGAGGATGTAGTGAATTTTTAAAAATAGGTAGTTAGGAAAAAATGCAATTAGACCCGGGAACCCGGATACCGCGAAGGCGGTAGCCGTAGTTCGACGACCCGGTTAATACCTTAAATATAAGTTAATATAAGATAGATAATAAAAAGATACAACTTACTACTATTAAGGTATTTCTTAGGCTTATTATATTTACCTAATATTAAGGGCTAAGAATCTTCTGTCCTATATTATATTTTAAGCACGAAAATCGTAATTATAGATAATTAAGCTCTATATAATAATTATATATCTAAATAAAGTTTCTTATAGGACTAAAAATATTCTTTAAGATATACTTAATAGATAATATACTAATTATTAACTAGATTATCCTAATCCTTTCCTTTAAAAAAGTTAAGCTGTTATTAAAGTAAGAGAATAGTACTAATCTACTATCTTAAGAGAAGTAAATATAAGCTACTTCTTTATAACCTTCTTCTATTTTAAGGTAGCTAAAGAGCTTATTTATTATAGATAGTAAAGATTATATAAATACTAATATCCTTAGCTCTAGAAAGAAGAGTAGTAAATTTAAAGAAAGATATATAATCTAAAGAAGATAATTAATCTATCGCTACTCTTTTAGACTTAGTAACGTATTTCACCAGTGAGCTGCGCACACCAACGAGCTGCGCACACTAACGAGCTGCGCACCCCACCTAAAACGCGTCAACTAATTTACCCCCTTCTTCTTCAACCACCCACTATGCCACCAATTCGTACTCAATCTTCTCAAAATTCAATGGAGAGAGAGGGTAGAATCTTATTAGCTATACAGGCTATTAAGAGGCAAGAAATCAGCGCTCTTCGCGAAGCAGCGCGCCGTTTTGACGTACCCGAATCAACCCTTCGAACGCGCCTTCGTGGGACTACCTTTCGCGCTGAAACACGCGCCAACAACCATAAATTGTCTGAAACTGAGGAGGAATCTCTTGAAAAATGGATTCTCTCTATGGATCTACGTGGAGCAGCCCCCCGGCCCTCTATGGTACGAGAAATGGCGGATCTTCTGCTTCAAAAGCGTGGAACTACCCCGGTTCTTTCGGTCGGCCAAAATTGGGTTACGAAATTCGTAAAACGACGTCCTCTTCTTTCCTCTCGATTCTCGAAACGTTATAACTACGAGCGTGCGAAATGCGAAGACCCTAAAATCATTAGGGAGTGGTTTGATTTAGTTCAAAAGACAATCCTTCAATTTGGAATCGACCCTGACGATATCTATAACTTTGATAAGACCGGTTTTGTAATAGGATTGACTGCAACTGCGAAGGTTATTACGAGGAGTGAATACTACGGTCGGAGGCCGGTTTTACAACCTAGAAATCGTGAATAGGTAACTATAATTGAATGTACGAATACTTCTAGATAGGCCCTTCCTCTGTATATGATTTTTAAAGGTAAAGTCTTTATTGAATTATAGCTTGACGGCCTTCCGGGGGATTAGCGCTTCGAAGTCAGTCCTAATAGTTGGACCTCTGATAAAATTGGACTTCGGTGGCTTAAGAAGCTCTTTATTCCTAGTACTTCGCGTATAAAGGGGATATACCGGCTTTTGATACTTAATGGCCACGGAAGTTATTTAATACCTCAATTTGACGAAATTTGCGAGTAAAATAAGGTAATACCAATCTATATGCCTACGCATTCGTCTCATCTTTTACAACCTCTAGATATTGGTTGTTTTACGGTGTTAAAACGTGCGTACGGTCGGATGGTTGAAACTAAGATGCGGAACGGGATTAATTATATTGACAAACTTAACTTCCTCGAAGTATACCCTCTCGTACGAATTGAAGCTTTTAAACCGGAGACTATTAAAAATAGCTTCGGGGTAGCCGGTTTAGTCCCTTTTGAACCGGAGAGAGTGATCTCTAAGCTTAATATTCGGCTTCGAACCCCAACCCCCCCTCTAAGCCGGGGGAGTGAATCAAGCCGGAATTTTACGCCAAAAACTCCATTTACAGAGAAAGATCTACGTCGATAAGCTTCGTCAATCAAAGCTTTACTTCGTATAAGATCTCGAAGCCCGCCCAGCCTATCAGATCGTACATTAAACCAGCTTATAAAAGGCTTCCAGCTCCAGCTACAAAGTTATATTTTACAAGCGCAAGAAATCAAGGAATTACGCGCCGCCAACGAGAAGCATAAGCAAAAGCGTACTCGATCCCGAAGGCCTATTCCTACTGAAGAAGGCCTTTCAGTTCAAGAAGCCTCTGCATTAAATATACAGCAACAGGAAGCAACTGAAGCACCTCCCCCTAGCGCCGGCATACCTAGAGAACTAGCTATACAGCCACGTATACGCCCCCCCCGGGCCTATGGAATATGCAGATTGCCAGGGCATAGAAGAGAAACATATCCAGATAGATTATGATTTTAGTGTATTTAATTTAATGGAGTTTTGGTTGACATATTTACATTTGAAATTAGTAGGCTGGGTGGGGTGCGCAGCTCGTGGGTGTGCGCAGCTCACTGGTGAAATACGTTAGTAAGCTTAAACTCTAAGAGATAATAGGGAGGTAATACTCAAGGTCCCCTCTTTAAAAGAAATACCTAATTTACCTTCAATACTAAAGTTGCTAGTAGGGCCTACTTTAGTAGTAGAACCTATTTTAATAATAGAGTTAAAGGATTATAAATAGATCCCTAAAAGCTTTTCTATATTACTATAGAGACCTTTACTATAAAGAGTAATATTATCAGTTACTACGATTAAGAGTACGCTATATAAGAGATATCCTATCTTATTATCTTCGCTAGATCTAATTAATATTATATAGTCGATCGAAGCTAAAGGGGGAGAGGGGGATTAATATAATAAAGATAAAGTAGAGATAAAGCGTTAATTATGATAAGAGATATAGTATATACCTACTCTAGAGCTAGAAGATCGGCCTATTAGAGAGATCTCTATATTAATTAATAAATCCAATATTATGTTAGGCCCTAAAATATAGAGGCTAAAGGTAGATCTAAACTATACTATATATCTATTACTAGATAAGACGCTATTAACTAAGCTATTAGACCTTTTATATACCTTCATAATAGGCATTATAAAGAAGTTTAATATATAAAATAGACTATATAGAGACTAGATAGCTCTACTACTAGAGAACTAAAAGTAGATAAAAATCTATTCTTTTACTATATAATTAAAGATAGCGGCGGAATTTAAAATTAAGACTTTAAAGGCTAAAGAGACTTTCTCTTAGATTATATTACCGAATAAAAATAGTATCTAGATATTACTATTAAAGTAGGTATTTATATATAAATTTAATATAGATAGTATACTCGAGAGGTTTAAGTAAGAATCTATATAAGAGGAGGTCTATAGTAGATATTAACTAAAGAAAAAAAGAGCTACTATACTAGCTATTAAAATAGTAAGAGTACTAGTTACCGCTTTTAATTTAGATATAATTTAGAGAGATATAGTTACTATATTCCTAAATTTAATACTAGAAAGTAAGGTTTATATTAAGTATCTACTAGGTTTTAAAGTACTAAATTAGTACTAGCTCCTATATAGAGCCCTTTATAGATTACGTATATTACTAAGGCTTTAGTAGTAAGAATTAATAAAGATACTAGTAAAATAAGGCTTTACCCTAGTAGAAGAAGATCTATATATCTTTATAATTGAAGATATTATTATCTTCTTTTATATAGACGATATTATTACCGTTAATTACTCTAAATAGGCTAAAGAGGCCGCTTTACTAGATTAAAATCTAAAGAAGCAATAGGGGCTTCGAGAACTAGATATAAGCTAGTTCTAAGTAGTTATTAAGCCTTTTAGTGCCTCATGATAGGGTAGTATTACGATAATAGATTTATAGTTTCTAGACTAAGGTTAGATCTATATAGTATACTACTATTACTAGAGTAGATACTATAAAAGTAACCTTTAAAGTAGCTAAATTCCTTATAAATCTAAGACTAAAATATATAGATATAACTAGCTAATTATATTATATAATATCTCTATAAGATATGATTTTAGACTATTAGATATGGTATTAGAATATTAAATAAAAATCTAGATATAGAGGATTAATCTAGAAATCGAGATATAACCTTAACGATAGCGGCGAAATCGGTTAAATCTATAAACGATACGTTATTCGGAGGGGTATATCTATAAATTATATAGTAGCCTAATCGATTAGAAGGCTACTAAGTATAAGACTATTACTATATCGACTATTAAGGCCGAACTACTAGTTTTAATAGAGGTAGGACAAACTATATAGTAATAGCGATAAGTACTTAATATATTAGGCTTTAAACTAGATTACTTACTATCTATTATATATAATAATTAGTAAACTATCGATTTATTAACGAAGGAAGGGGCCGCGATATATATAAACCTCCGGTATATTAATATTAATCGATACTAGATAAAGTAAGAAGTTAGCGTAGGTCGAGTATATATAGACTAGGTACTAACTACTACAATACGAGTAGATAGGCTTACTAAAGCTCTAACGAAGCAGAAGTAGGAATACTTTAGAGAGTTAGTTAAAATAAGGGATATAGGTTATATAATTCGTTATATAACCTCTAAAAATAGAGGCTATTTTACGGAAACTATATAAATCGACGATTTGAGCCGAGATTAGTAGGGAGATAGGCGAGGTTAGTTAAAATTACTTACGAATTATTTACGAAGCAGTTACAAAGTAGTTAGAAGAGATACAGTCTTTAAGAACCGGGGGGTATATCGAGTACTATACATTTATATATACTGAAATTACTAGGTCTTTATAAACCGGAAAATTAATAGACCGTTATAATAACGGTACTAACGTATTCGGTAAGCGAGTGGGCCATGTAAGCCAGTGGGCCACCCAACCCAAAACGCGTCCATGAATTAGCACTTAGTTAGTTCAAC